TTATGACCTGACCAAGAATCAGAAACACTGGACCTTACACATCACGCTGACATGTACATACACGAGTGGACAGCCTCCTCACAGAGCTGACGGGCCATTCACACCACAGCGCCACCCATCCAGTGCCTGGTGTCCTCTGACCTGTCCTATCCTGCTCTTGGACTGAACAAAAAACTGGTGACTCCAGGACCCGCCATAGGCCACCTGCAAACTCTGGTCCTATCCCACAGGCTCCTGGTGGGCCATGGGGACAGCCCGCGGGGGACAGCACCAGGGCATCTGGCTGGTCACTCTGCACCAGGCTGGCACAGCAGTGAATGTGAGGCCCCCTTCACGATCTGGAAGAAAAGCTGGAGCATGTCACCCACGAGGAGCAATTCTGCTACATTTGTTAGCTGAACCAAACCATTATTTTCTGGCCATATTTGTCCACTTGGATCAGCTGTCTATGGGACTCGGCCCCCGTGAGGGGGTGGGTGCGTGCCTGCCTCCTGCCGTGTGGCTGGAGACCCGGGTTCCAGCAGTGCCTCGCGGTGGCCACATCGGCTCAAGTCTCTTCGTTGGGAGAGGACCCAGTTCCCGGGATCAGCCAGGACAGTGACCTGAATGTCCTTCTGAGATCAGGGAGACCTGGAGTGAGGAGTGGTTGGGGGCTGTGGGGAGGGAGGGAGGGGCTGGACACAGAGGGCTCCAGCTTAAATGAGAGACGCCCCCATTACTGTGGTCACATCCTCACCGAGGGGCATTCCCACAGCTTTGTCACTCACTCCCTGTTCCTTCGCCATCCAAGGCTCTCTCCTTGTTAACTTACGATCCTACCTGAGCCCATCTCTACCCGACACCCAGTGCTCGCTCGGCCTTGTTTGCTTTTCTTTATTGATCTGTGATCCCATTGCCTGTCAGGCACCCTTGCGAGGCTTCTCCAGGGGATGTGAACTTCAGGGTCCATGTGGGGGACAAGTGTCACCACCCATCTCATTGGCATAGAAGGGATGGAGTTGACACTTTGTTGGGCAAGACCCTCTTAAGGTGGACAGCACGAGTGAGCTGGACCAGAAGGAACCTGCCACCCCCTGAAACTGGGACTAGGAGGACGGAGGGGCCGGACCATGCTCATACATGCCAGGCAAGAGGGGCAGTGAGTCTGCCTCTCCCACCCAGGGGACCCTCATCTTGGAGGGTCGGCCCTGTCACCCAGTCCACAGAGAGGGAGGGGCTGGGGTGGGGGCAGGAAGGGAGGGTCCTCGCACCAGGGCCTGGTGGAAGCCAAGCCCCAGGCTGAGCAGGAGCCTGACTTGCAGGGCCGAGGAGCTACCCTTGACCTCTTGGTTATACCTGCCGGATGGGCAGCACAGGAACTTGGCGTGACTGATATTTTCCGCGGGGATCATGCTCAAGTCGGGGGGTTGCTGGTGAAGCAGGAAGACGTGCAGCCCTTGCTGATGAGCATCTTTTTTCTGAACCTGGGAGGGAGGACAGCAAGTGCTCCCAGCCAAGCCTCTGGGCGCTGGGCATCCCTAACCACACGTGGGTTCAGCTGTCAGCCAGGCAGCCCTCTGGAGCTGCAGGTCCCCCGGCGTGCACCTTCCAGGCAGCCCCTGCAGCTCCTGTTCCTGTGGGGAATTTAGGGGAATGGAGGATTTCCCAGCTTCTGCAGGTGTCTGGCCCCGGGCTGGGCCCAGTCCTCACTCATACAAGTCGGAGAAGTGTAGACACATCTCTGCCTGGGCCTGTCTGCAGGGGTCCCCTTAGACAAGCCACAAAGGGAAAGAAAAGCACCAAACAGCCCCTATGAAAGGGTCTCCTGGGTGGGGCAGGAGGGGCCCAGCCTCAGAAGGAGGTCCTCCTGATGGAGCACAACTTAGAACTCCTGCACGTGGGGCAGGAAGTCAGAGCCCCAAGGCATGCAGCTCCCCACTGCCTGTCCATTCGCCTGGGCTCACCCTCAGGGGTCTTTGCCGCCCCTAAACCTCCCCCCTGGGAGAGCTGAGATGGAGGGGCAGGAGGGAGATGAGGGGAGGACCAGGAACAAGGACCAGTCCTGCCAAATGCAGGTGGTACCCAGGGACACTTCCTCCAGAACCGGGCGGGAAGCCGTAGAGAGGAGGGAGAAGCTGGGGGGGGGGCGCAGTGACGGCACCCCAAGCCCGGTAAGAAGGGAAAGGGCTCTGTGGGGCTCCAAAGGCCTTCTGGCCTGGTGCCCCCTCCAGAGCACTTCACTCCCTCTCCTTCCTGGCATGTTCCTGTGAGCTTTGCAAGGAGGGGAGCAGAGAGACCAAACGTGGGGTCCATGGAGGGGGAGACCACCGCCCGGCTCTGTGTGGAGCCCCTGGGAGGGAAGCACCCAGGGTCCAGGTGGCCGGGCAGCCAAGCCCGGACCGCGGACTCACGGATTTGGAAGACCAGCTTGTAGGAGGAACAGAACAAGTGCTCCACAGGGGTGCAGGCGGCTGGTATGCAGAAGGAGGTGGAGTTGACCTGCAAGAAGTAGAGGCAATGCAGGCTGGGGTCTGCGGGCCAAGCAGGGGCAGGGCAGGGTCAGGCTCGGGGCACACCCAGGGGCTGCCCTGCCACCTCCTGGGGAAGACCTTGCTGGCCATGGGCTCCCAGAGCCCCAAGCAACCCCTGACTCTGAGCCCACGGGCTTCCGAGGACCTGGGTCTGACGTTTGCACCTGCAGGCGGATGTCAGATCGCCCACCTCCTACGGGGTGCCTATTGCACGCAGCACGCAGGCGCGGGCTGTCCTCAAGGAAGGGCGCCCGCACACACGTGAGCAAACACCCAAGGCCCCGCCCAGCCCTCACTCCACCAGGAAAAGACCCACTGGGCCTTCCCTTCCACCTCAGCCACTGTTTGCCTCAGCCCTGTCAGCACACACCAGGGCAGACCAAGGGACCAGGAAGACCCCTCTCATGGCTGGTCAGCCAGGCCTGAGTAGGGGGCAGGCAGAGAAAGAGCTGTATCCAGAGCCCCCCAGACCCCTGGCCTTGGGCGCCCCATCCCTTCTCTCCTCTGCCCCCTGCATGCCACAGCCTGGACACACCCTCGATTCTCATTTGCATGTGTTTCTCTAGCTTCCCTGGTCCTCTGTCCCCATGTGGGTCCTTGTCCCAGTGACCCTCACCTGACCCTCGTTCCGACACCTTTCCTCAGAACTGAGTTCAGCCCTGATGGAAGTCAGAGTTGACCCTGTCCTTGGGAAGGCTTCCTGGCTTCCTAAGTCAGCAGTCTCTCAGGCACAGAGAGGAGGAGCGAGCTGAGTCACAGGGCGTGGGGGTGAAGTGGGCAGGGATCTGCTCTCCCCCTCTGTGGGTCCACCCACCTGGGCCAGCCTCAGACTCAGCCTCAGACTCTGGTGCATTCTTTTTTTTGGTGTAACAGACCTCATGGAGCAGGGACTGAGTTCCATACTGGGGAGGATCTGGGGGCAAGATTTGTGAGGGTCCACAGATGGCTGAGGGAGGGACCCAGAAACCCCTGAGTGCATGAGAGGGAGAGGGCCAGGAGATGAGGTGAGAGAGGACAGTTCATCGCATTAAG